ATAGTAAACTCAAGCTGAGAATTCAAAGCATTGGTTCCTTTTTTTTTCCTTAGGAAGGTATTTGGAATGCTTTTAATCAGAAGGACAAAAGTTTTCTACTTTATTTAATTTTCTTAGTCTATTGGTCTCTTCTACTGGGAGCTTATTTAAACTTTTATTTACAACGGTAATCTCCGAATTTGTTCTGGGTAGCTGATTCTCTTGGTTTAAGATAATTGACTTCAATTACAGGCTGCTTGAGTTAAAGGGACTATACCTCTACATAGAATGAAATCTTTTGAACAAAATTTAAACAAAGTTTTGAGTATACATGGTTGAATATAAACTGATTTTGTTACAGGAACTTTATACTTTGAACCTTTGTATTCTTAAAGTGTTATGGTTTGGGTATACATACTTATTAGTGGTAAGAAATATTGTTGGGACAGGTCATCTGTTATTCTTCAGTAGTATTAGTCATTTTTATTTTGCTAGCCAGGTATCTGGGATGAATCCTACTTTTTCTTTTCTTTCTTTCTATTTTGCAGCTATCCATTATAGTTTGAACTCTTTTCCCATCTGCATCCCACCTGTGATGCCTACCACTGGTCCTAGACAAATGAGTCTAACAGAAAAAAAAAATATTTTGAATTTTGCCCATATCTTTGATTAATCCTTCTCAACGATATTCTGACATTTTTATCGTTAAATACGATAAGACATAAAATGAGAAAAATGATGTTATGGAGGAACAGCTTTTACTTGTTGAAAATCTTAAGTCTGTTTAAATGGGTTTTAAAAAATTATATTTTGATATAACTGAGATTTTGTAACAAGTTCTTGTCAGAAGGCACTTGTATCCAGAACAGGTTAATCAATTGTGTGATTGATAAATAGGAACAATTGAGTGTGGGTCAGGGTAAATACCTGATAGAAGGGAGCAGGTATAGGTCTCAAAAAGAGTGAAAGTGAAGATAGTGAGGTTTAGGTGTAGAAAGGTTTTTCTGATTGTAGAAAAGCAATCATTGGGTTTAACAGACCATCACCATCAGGCTGCTGTATAACTTTTCTTTCTTTTCCTGTTTCTGCAGCCTGCAAGGAAGCATGGGCTGAGATCAGGGAACTTGGAAGGGCAAACTGGGGCCTTTCAGTCAATCAATCAACAAATGATTATTGAGCGCCTGCTATGTGTGAGGCACTGTACTAGGCACTGTGGGGGATACAAAGAAAGAAAGGTAGGTTGATGCCAGATTGTGGAAGGCTCTGAATGCCAGGCTAAGGAGTTTGGACTTTATCCTTTAGTAAGTGGGAAACTATTGAAGTGTTTTTGAGTAAGGGAATAACATATTGAAAGTTGTGTTCCTGGAAGAATACTTGCAAAGTAGGTTGGAATGAGGAGAGACTGGAAGCAGGGGTGCTAGTTAAGGAGGATCTTATAAAGTGTGGTAATAAGAGCCTAAACTAAGGTTGTAGCAGGGGGACTAGAAAGGAAGGATTGAATATAAGAAGACAGTAAGAAAGAATAAGTGATAGAAATTGATGACTGATTAGATAATGGGAGGAGGTAGTAAGCAGGAGAGAAAGAGAGGAATCATAATGAGTTTGAGTGTTTGAGTCTGGTTTAATAGACACAGTGATGCTAAGTTTGACAGAAATACACACCTGGGGACTGTGAAAAAGATAAGGAGTTTGATTTAGATATTTTAAGTTTGAGGTGATTGTTGGCTATACAAATAGAAATATCCAGTAGTTAATTGGGGATATGGGAATGTTACTCAGGAGATAAAAGTCACATCTAGGAATCCAGTCTTGGAAGTCATGTACTTAAGGGTGATAGTTGAAGCGGTAATAGTAGACAAGATCTCCATGGAAAAGAATGCAGAGAGAAAAGAACAGAGGGCCAAGAGTTTGAACAACTTCTACATTTAGGAGTTGAGAGGAGGAAGAAGAGAAGTCAGCAATTAAGACAAAGAAGGAAGTGATTTGAGATGTAAGGAGAACCCAAGATAGTGATAGTTTAATGGAAGCAGAGAGAGTAGACTGTTTGAGGGAGTAGTTGATCAATCTTGAAAAATGATAATTAGAGATCCACTAAGAAAAGATCATTACCCTTTGAGAGTATGATTTTAGAAAGGCAGAGGACATTAAGTCCAGTTGCCATTTCTCTGATAAGTTGTAAGCAGGCAATTGCTCCCTATTGTGTACGTCAGTATGTCAGAAATCAGTTTCACAAATTGAATTGAGGTGCTGGGAATACAAAGCCAGCTATGTCATAGGCTCTATACTCAAGAAGCTTAGCATATCATAAGGCTGTGAAGGGGTTACAAGCTCACAAAAAAAAAAACTGTGATGAAAGAGAAGGAGAAAAATTTTAAGAAGATGTCTAGTTACAGGACTATGGAAAATTTGGAGAGGTTTTATCTGAGGGGATGAGAGCCAGACCAGGTGTTCATGGAAGGAAGGCTTCATCAAAAAGGTGGCATCTGAGTTAAGCTGTGATGAATGGAAATGACAGAGCTTCCTGAAAGGGCTTTTTACAAAAAATTGGCAAGGTTTAGGGTTATTAGAAGAATTCTTGTAAAGCTTGGAGGAAAAAACTAAGAGTTAGGTTAAGTAGCAATTGAGAACACATGGATTTTGAGTGTAAGGTACTGATATGTATTTAGGTGTTTTTATTTCTTAAATCCTACTCTAAATTTCATGATGTCTATCGAAGTGAATTAGTGATGATAGTTGTTGGTTCTGCTTAGTTGTTTTAATAAAGAGTCCTATTATTATGAAAAAAAGATAACAGCGGGAAAGTCTACCTCTTTGTCTTAGTTAAAACACACCGATAACTTATCTAACTATTCAGAAGAAAGTTGGTGCAGACAAAAGAGCATTGGCTCTAGAGTCCCAGGACCTGGGTTCTAATCCTACTTCAGATGTTGCTTTTGCAGTTTCCTCAACTGCAAAAGATTAGGCTAGATGACCTCCAACGTCTGTAATCTAGAGCTCTGATCTTAAGACTGACTTCTTGATGGCAGTTTGCCTTCACTGCAGGTAAAGAACTGAGGAGGAAATTATCCTGAGTACTGGCCTGACAAATCTAAACCTGTAATGTGATGATAAGCATTACAGACTGCTGCCAAATTGTTCCTTACATAACTCCCATGAAAGTCTAAAGTGCTTATTAGAAAGTAAAATGAAAAAATGATTACATTGAATGGTTTGAGTGTTTTATATATGTTTTAAATTCATCAGTATATGAATTGAGCAAGTAAATTGAGTAAATCTAATTTTATTGGTAAGAGTGAACCACAGAGTGAAGGATTACCAGTATAATAGAAAAGAAAGGTTTTGGTATGTTTGTAAAGAAGCATATAACATATTTAAAAGATTATTGTATTTTAAATGAAAAAAATGAAAAAAGTCCTTCAAATCAAAAGGTAGTCAATAGAATACAGTAGGAAATTAGGAAGTCCATTGCATTGGCTTATAGATAAACTATAGGGAAGTAATGAAAAGATTATGATATTTGGTCATATATAACTTATACTTGATAAACTAATGTATGCAGATATGGAAAACAATCACTTTAAACTGAGAAGTAAGGAGTTGCTCTGTCAGGTCATTGAACAAATCACTTGGGGCCTCATTTTCCTTGTCCATACAATGAAGGAATGAAGTAGTTTATTTTTAATTCCTTACAACATTCAGCTTCTCTGAACCTTAGGGTTTTAGAGTTAAAGAGCTTATTCTGTTTTACATTAATCCTTAATGCTGTATTTAAGATGTTAGATTTTGATATAGTCAGAATTATAGCCACGAAAACTAGTACTAATTAAGAATAACTTCCAATGCTTGAAAACTTTCCTCTTGTTGCTAAACCACAGCACAACTCACTTATTCAATATTGTTCGAAAATGAAGTATTCCAATTTTTTTTTCCAGAAAACTAGAGCTCTACTATGTGAAGTACAAAAACTTGCTATTTATTTTAATATCTTAAAATGAAATATTTTCTTTCCCTCTTTAAGTGCAGAGAGGTGAAAGGAGAACTGGCCTTGGAAAGCCCTGGGTTTGAATTCCAGCTCTAGCGCTTACTGGTTGTGTGACCTTGAAGAGGTCTTGTAACTTCACAGACTCAGTTCTCTCATCTGAAAAACTGGAAAAATTTATTTAGAAAAAAATTTATTGTGAGAAAAGCACTTTTTGAATAATAAATCATTATGTAAATGTGAATTCTTATTCTGAACATAATTTAACTTTTATTGTTGAGTCAGGATTATTATTGATAAAATCCGTTTTTGTTCTGTACTGTCTTAATGATGCCCTAAGAGTAACAGATCTCTAGGGCTGTTTGCCCCTATCCTAAAATGCCCAACACGACTAGGCTTTCTAGGCTTTTTCACTGTTGTCGGCCCCTCTATTACTGTCAGTGTCCTTCATGCTTTAATCTGCCACTTTATTTTATACAAAATTGTCTGGGTAAAGACCTGCATGTGGTTCTCTGACTCTTTTATGGAATAAAGTACCTAAGCTTTATTACACCTAGATGCTCAGAGATCCCTTCCTGTTTGATTGAAGTCACATTTGAAAATAAGTGGTATGTTTCTATAATTAATTGCTCTTTATTATTATTATTATTATTATTTTTTTTTTTTTTTAAGGCAAGGCAATTGGGGTTAAGTGACAGAGTCACACAGCTAGTGTTATGTGTCTGAGACCGGATTTGAACTCAGGTCTTCCTGGCTCCAGGGCCGGTGCTCTACTCACTGCACCACCTAGCTGCCCCAATTAATTGTTCTTTAAAGGAAAATACTTTGGTGTATATGTATTGATTATTTGCATACTTTATCTCACAATTATATACTATAAGATGTGCCCCCCAAATGCATTTGAAGATACTTTCAAGACATTTTGTCTTCAGCCTTTCAGTATGAGATTAATTTCTTTAAGCCCAAAACTTACTTTGGAGAAAGCAGAATGTTGACATTTGAAAGTCCTAATTCCTACCATACTTCTTTTTTGCGATAACAGGACAAAAATTGCCCAGGATATTGAGAGACTAATTCATCAAAATGATATCATAGACAAAGTTATGTATGACCTGGATAACCCAAAGTAAGTGTGTAAATTTAGCAATTCTTAGTTGCTTTTCATTATACTTTTAAATTTTCATCATCTGAATTTAACATTGTGGTTTTCAAAGACATGAATATAAGTTCATATACCACTTATCTGACTGTAGATTATCCATATTGTGTTCCTATATAAATGCATGGATAATTGAGTATTGATGATAGTGGTGATTCTTGGTGATTTTGTGCAATATGATTATATGTTATGCTTCTGCAAATGTTTTCTCTTAAATACATATTTTAAGTATTAATAGGCCAGGAATTAGAGCCATAGCAAGTTGCTACTTTTGTACCAGTTATTACTATTAAATAACACTATTAAGTTTTACCATCTGAATAATAAGTAAAGAAAGTTAAATATTTTGGGTATGAAAGTTGAGTTTTTTTTTCTATTCAGAACCATTGCTTCCTTGGAATGAAAAGTTGAGAAGTCTTAAGTGGTACATTCCTTTCCCCCCTGTTTTGGTTTGTGAGGAAATTCCTGTAAACTTCCCCAGCTACTATTACTTGGATCAGAATATGTTAATATATATAATATTTATATATGTGTGCATATATATGTTACATGTATATATTATATGTCTGTATAACATGTCTACATGAAAAACATTTTTGGATTAAATTGGATACATATACACAAAAGTGTATGTTATTGTATATCTAGTTAAATTTGATTAACATTTATTAAACACCTATGTATGAGGCACTATGCTAGGCACTAGGGATGTTATATACATGTATATGGATATATTTGTATATATGCACATTTAAGCATCAGTGTCAGAATTTGGGATATATCCATAAGAAAGGAATAAATACTGTATTAACATATTCCTTAAATAAGTTTTATGGTTTTTTAAAAATTATGTTTCAGTTTATTAATTTATGAAATGACAGTGGAATAATGTATATTTTGATTTATTTTCTGACCTAGAGCCAAAGCTCAGTATTTTGAAGAGTAGTAGCTCTTTACTAGAAATGTAAAAAGTCTTATTTAAACTAATAAATTAATTGTCCCTCACAATTAAACTGCAGATAGAATGCTCACTAGTATATTTCTTTTGTGTTATAGATTTTAGCCTGTTTTTTCTGTGATAATTTTATATATATATATATACATATATAATATATATATATATACATATATAATATATATATATATATATATATATATATATAAAATTTCTTAAAAAGATTAAAGTGAAACATTTACTTTTGTTATTGGTATAAATTGATTTTTAATACTTTTGCTTGTCTTTTTTTTCTTTTAAAGTTATACTGTACCAGAAGAAGGAGAAAGTTTGAAATTTAATTCCAGGTTTGAATCTGGAAATCTACGAAAAGTTATTCAAATTAGAAAGTAAGTATTTTTCCAATTCCACACTTAATATATACCCAGGAATTTTTCCTATTTTCAACAGATTTATTTTTCTTTGTTCACCTTCAGAAACGAATATGATCTTATTCTGAACTCAGATATAAATAGCAATCATTATCATCAGTGGTTTTACTTTGAAGTCAGTGGAATGCGGACAGGTGTTGGATACCGATTTAATATCATCAACTGTGAAAAATCCAACAGTCAGTTTAATTATGGTAAGACAGTTTTCTTTTAGGATGCTTAAAGGGATCTTATGCTATCTGCAACAAAGGATGTAATTTTAAAAATTACCAATGTCTTTTACAAATCAAATGAGTGTTCATCTAGGATGCTGTTTCATTCATAAAATACATATTTTTAATATCTAAAATTAGAAATAACATCAATTTCATTATGTTGCATGAATGTGTGAAGGATTCATGATTTTATTTTATTTTATGGGATCTATAAATTATATTTTTAAGAACTTGAGTTACATCAGTAATAATGAGGCAGCACAGCAGAGTGACTAGAGCAGGGGTGGGGAAACTGTGGCCTCTAGGTCCTCAAGTGGGGCCCTTTGACTGAGTCAAAACTTCACAGAACAAATCCTCTTAATAAAAGTATTTGTTCTGTAAAACTTGGACTCAGTCAAAAGGCCACACCCAAGGACCTAGATGGCTACCTGTGGCCTCGAGACTGCAGGTTTCCCTCCCCTGGACCAGAGGATTAGGCTTGTAGTTGACTAACCTCCAGTTAGTCAATAAAAATTATTCCACAAAGTAGTATTATTTTATAGACCCTTCTTAAGTTGATGTGTTAAATAAATTCCTTTTAGCATGAATGAAATTATAGGTTTAATGAAGTTGTTAGATAGTGGTACAGTGGATATTGGAGCCAGAAGGACCTGAGTTAAAATGTTGTCTCAAATATTTAGTAGCTGAGTGGCTCTGGGCAAATCCGTTAATCTCTTTCAGCCTTAGCTTCTTCATCCGTGAAATGGAATACTGATAGCAGCTATCTCACAGGGTTGTTGTATGTATCAAATGAAGTAATGTATGTGTTGTAATGTTCTTTAATTAATTAGCAAACCTTAAAGCACTATATAAATGCCTGCTGTTATTATTGTTTGTGCAAAGCTGTTTGAAATTTGTGGTGTATATTGGGTCACTGATCAGATTCAATTCTAGAAAAAGACCAGCATGCTGGCAAAAAACCCAACTCCCTAGAAGTTAAAGCCTGTTAAAATCTGTAGTGTAAAGAACTGTGGGCAGCAAGGTGGTGCAGTGGGTAGAGTGCTAGGCCCAGAGTCAGAAAGACCTGAGTTCAAATGTGGCCTCAAACACTTACTAGTTATGTGACCCTGGGCAGGTCATTTAACCCTATTTGCCTCTGTTTCCTTTTCTATAAATTGAGCTGGAGAAGGAAATGGCAAACCACTCCAGGATCTTTGCCAAGAAAAGCCTAAATATCATGAAGACACGAAGAGTCAGACACGACTGAAATGACTGAATAACGATGAAAACAAGTTTCATCAATTTACTATCACTTTAGCTATTTGCAATGAAACTTTTTTTGGAAAATAACCCAGATTCAGACTCCCCTCTGCTCCACGTATATGATCTTCAACAAATTATTTCACCTCTTTGGTCTTCAGTGTCCTCATCTATGATGTAATGGGGTTGAACTGAATTTCTTCTGAACTAATTTTTAATTTTACACTCATCATCCTATCATCCTTATCAAGCTCGAAATTGTTGACAATTTTAGATAAGCTTCAAAGGTTTTATATTCAAAAAAGTTCAGTTAAATAGGCAACTTTTTAAACAGTGGTGGCATGGAGCATCATGTTTTATATTTTAAGTAGTGTTAAAAACTGCTGAAAGCAAGCAAAGGGATAAATTTTAGGGAAATATTTCTGAAAATTAGGATAGTCATGAGGAGAAAAGGTTAAAATGCTTTCCTAATCATGAGATATTTAACATGTGTTATGAAGAAAATATGAAACTAAAATAATATTACATAATTATGGGATAAAAGCTTTAGCAAAATTCATTTTCTTAATGTAATAGTTTTAGAAAGAATGGACTATTTGGAAATAATGAACTATTATTTACTTCAGTCAATATAAACTTTCTTTTTCTACCAAATTTTAAAATATATTGATTAAGAGTATTTCCAAAGTGTCTATGCTCATTTTCTGTTCTTTAAATTTTTTTTGTTTATTCAAGGAACCTTACTTAAGGAATGTATCAATATAATATTTGTTCCTTGTTTTTTCCAGTAGTTTATATTGAAATGAACTTACAGAAATGAATGAACTTGATACTTCTATATGCTTTTATTATTTGATATTTTAGACTATTTAATATGATATTAATTAAAATATTTATCACACAGATATATTTTAGAATAAAATGTAATAAAAAAACAAACCAACCAAAGAAACAAAAAAAAACCTATTGGGAAATAAGAGGGAAAAAATTAATCTTTAAGTGATAATATGAGTTGGGTTTTTTTAAATTACCCCCAAAGTTTGAGTTATTTAAGGAATTTGCCATTCATTTCTAGTTAACTCTGACATATTACTCTTTCAAGCATAAAATTGTTTTATTTTAAAGAGGAATTAGCCAGAATTGAATAAATTTGATTTACCTTTGCTGTGAGAACCTTTTTATGAGGAAAATGTCAAAATATCTCTATTTGACAGGATGAACATAAATAATATTTTAAAATAGTTTTTTTATCAGCATCTAATAATTTAAGACTTTAACATATTGACAATTATACTGTAAGTGGTGTTTTGCTAACCCAGAGATTAGCATTATACAAAATAGTTATCTTACTGTGAAATTATTCTTACTATATTGTGAAATATAATTAAGGGTACCTTTCTTTTGGATTCTTCATTTGGAACAGTGCTAAATGCCACTGAGTGTTTTTATTATTTTAATTCAGTGTTGCTTTCTATGTCATTATTCTAAACTCCTGCTATATTTGTATAATTATATGTATATGTATACAAATAGTTTATTCTTTGGATAATGGCTAAGTTGGTTCTTTCTATGCTCCATCTTTAGCAGATTAAATAAACTTCAAACATCTACTTCATCTGTGATGGCTTCAGTATACTAAGGCAACCTATTTTTCTTAACCATCACTATATCTGGAGCCTCCCAGTTATGACTCTTTTCAGTGTGATTCATTATTTATTGGCACAACATTTTCTTACTTAGATATTTGGAACTCAAAATACATTTACTGAATTTAAACTTCTTGGGTTCAGAATTTGGCGAAAATTTTTAAAAAGCTGTGATAAGAATTTGTGATTTAGATATCTTCTTGTTATTATAGAAGGGGCTCACTGAGGTAAAAAATTTCTCTACCATTTATCTAATATTTTGTTAATACATAATATATCAAAATGGTTTACTTTTAAATATCAATCTTTTACATATTTTACTTCCTCTGAGTCTCTAGCTTCAGAAATATTTTACATACATAATTTAATAAAAATTTAATGATGAATACATGTTTGTTTTTAAGTAAAATATAAATATAATTGTCTTCCCTTTCGTTATTTACATTTTTAAACTGTGAAAATAATGTTTCCTGTCTGTGAATTTTTACTGTTTTCTTCTTTAATATGTTGTTTTCCTCTCTTTCTTTGAAGGTATGCAACCCCTAATGTATTCAGTCCAGGAAGCATTACATGCCAGACCGTGGTGGATTCGTGTAGGTACTGATATTTGTTACTACAAGTAAGTATTCGAAGAGTAATATTGTTGAACTAATGTTTTCATTTGCTGCCTAATGAGATTAAAGGAAAAAAAAAACTTGATTCTCTTTCAACATAAATGTATGAAGCAGAATCCCTAAATGTTTTCAGAGGTACATCTTAGTACTTATTCCTTTTAACAGACCATAGTTTAAGTTACTTTTTTATCAGGAAGTTTCAGAGATAAGAGCTGAAATGAGAAATTCAGGAAATATTTCATAATGCTTTGGTACTAGGATGATATTACATTTAATTTTTCTCTCTGTGGCATTCATAAATTTATATGTGCATTTATTTCATATTTCTGTTTTGGAAATATTTTGATTTCTTAAATATTTTGACATTTTAATAATTTTGTCATTCAATAGTTGTATTATTATATTTTATATGGGTTCAAATGTTAAGCATCTTTTAATTTACTCTGATCCTATTTCTGATATATTTATAATTACATCTACTTAAGAAATCTTGTGGCATTCCTTCTTCTGAACCATTTTTACTTTGAATCCTGGCCTTTGTGTACTGTTCCATAATATTAAATTGAGTTTATCTTTGATTCTTCTCTTTTACCCAATTTTCTTAAGCATCGAGGCAGCTCAGAGAATAGGGTGCTAGACTTGGAGTCAGGATAACCTGAGTTGACACTTACTGGCTGTGAGACCTTGGGAAAATCACTTAGCCTCTTTGAGCCTCTGTTTCCTCATCTCTAAATTTGGGGATTTGGACTTGATGCCCTCTGAAGTACCTTTGAGCTCTGAGTTTATAATCTGTGATCTTATGATATAACCAGTTACCAAATTTTATCATTTCTACCCCTTCCAGAGTTCTTTGTCTCCTCCTGCCCCCCTCTTTCTCTTTCTCTCTCTCTCTCTGGATAGTATTTTTCATCATAAGTCCTTCATAATTGTCTTGGATCATTGTATTGTTGAGAATAGCTAAGTCTTTCACAGTTGATCATCATACAGTGTTACTGTTACTATGTGCAATGTTCTTCTGGTTCTGCTTACTTCACTTTGCATCAGTTTATGTAACTCTTCAGGTTTTTTCTGAAATCATCTTGCTCATCATTTCTTATAGCACAGTACTATTTCATCATAATCATATACTACAAATTGTTCAGCCATTCTTCAATTGATGGGCATCCCCTTAATTTCCAATTCTTTGTCACCACAAAAAGAGCTGCTATAAAAATTTTGTACATATAGGTCCTTTTCCTTTCTTTTTCTTAATCTGTAATAAAGAGATTAACACATCAAAGGGTGTGCATGATTTTATAGACTTTTGGGTATAATTCCAAATTATTTTCCAGAATGGTTGGATCAGTTCACAACTCCACTAAGAGAGCTTTAGTGTTCAATTTTCCCATTTTCTGTCGTATTAGCCAATTTGATAGGTTCATGAGGTGGTACTTCAGAGTTGTTTTAATTTGCATTTGTCTAATCAGTAGTGAGAGCATTTTTTTAGGTGACTATAGATAGTTTTGACTTATTCTAAAAACTGCCTCTTCATATGTTTTGAACATTATCAATTGGGGAATGAGTTGTGTTCTTATAAATTTGACTCATTTCTCTGTATATGAGAAATGAGGCCTTTATCAGAGAAACTTGCTATAAAATTTTTTCATAGTTGTGATTACTATATATTTCCCTCCATCCTGTTTTCCCCCTGTTTATCCTTTCCTCTTTCTCCTTTCACCCTGTTCCTCCTCAAAAGTGTTTTGCTTTTGACCTCTGCCTCTCCTAGTCTGCCTTCCCTTGATCAGTTCCCACCTCCCCCTTCTCTTATTTCCTTATTTTGTTTGTAATCTTAGCTCCTTTGCCATCCAGAATATAATAATCTAAGTCTTCTGATCCTTCAGTGTAGAAGCTGCTAAATCTTGTGTGATCCTGACTGTGGCTCCGTGATATTTGAATCGTTTCTTTCTGGCTGCTTGCAGTATTTTATCCTTGACCTGGAAGCTCTGGAATTTGGCTATAGTATTCCTGGGAATTTTCATTTTAGAATCTTTGTGATGAATCAACACCTTGGTCCACAGGTTAAATTGGTAAAGTACTACTAGGAGCAGGAGGAAGGTGAAAAAAAAAAAAGAAATCCCCCCAATACCAGAGCTGGAATAGGGTAATTGTATACTCTAGGCAAGGTTTGAAAATTGTGTCCCAACTTCATTTGAAAAGTGCATCTCCCCAAAACAAAAACAAATAAAACAAGGGGCAGTGAGGTGGTGCAGTGGATAGAGCACCGGCCCTGAAGTCAGGAGGACCTGAGTTCAAATCCGGCCTCAGACCAAACACTTGACACTTACTAGCTGTGTGACCCTGGGCAAGTCACTTAACCCCAATTGCCCAAAAAATGAAACAAAAACACAAACAAAAAAAGAAAAGTGCATCTCCTGTTGGTTATATCTGTCAGAAGACTTGAGAACCCTCACTGTAACACATGGGACATGACTTATCACAAAATATATATCTTTGTGTTCTGGAGGATGAAATTTTCTGCTATTAAAAATGCACATTCAGAGGACTTCTGCTTCCGGGAGCCAAGATGGTGGAGTAAAAAGGTAGTCGCTCTCACCCTCCCCCTATCAACCTCTGAAAACCCAGAAAATATCACCCCAGAAAAACAAACAAACAAACCGTGGAACAGCTGAACTAGAAGAAAGATGGGGAACAGCAGTGCAGCAGCCCAGCAAACGGGTCTCCCAGTGTCTCAGCAAAAATAAGGGAAGCAGCACTACAAAGGGCCCCAGGCAGATAAGCACCCTGCAGCATTCTTCTGAAAGGAGCTGAAGAAAGCAACCTAGAGTCTTCCTAAAGTCCCAGCCTTGCTGATTCCAACCCAACACCAGGTAAGCTGTCAGAATCCTATAGCCTCCAACTGTCAACCAGGAGGAGATCCTGAAGCCCAGGTGGTAGAGCAGGCAAACACCAACATCTGGACCTCCAGTGCCTCAGTGAGGGCAGGGGGGGAGGGGAACTGGTGGAAACCACCAGCTCAGAAAACCACCAGGTGCCTCAGCACTCTACCACAAAGGAATCTCCCAGTGCTTTAGCAGAAACAAGGGAGGCAGCATTGCAAGGGGCCCCAGGCAGATAAACACCCTGTACCACTCATCTAAAAGGAGCTGAAGAAAGCTAACGGAAAGGAAAAACAGGCAACCTAGAATTGCCTGAAAGTTCCAGCCTTGCTGATTCCAACCCAACACGAGGTAAGCTGCCAAAACCCTACAGCCTCCAACTGCCAACATAAGAGGCCCCAGCACACAAAGCCAGTGACCAAGACCTGGGCTCCCAACACAAGAAGCTTGGATCAGTGCCCTCTGTTCCCCAGCAGGAGAGCTCAAATCTCTTTAAAGGCCAGGGAATAAAGAAAACATGAGTAAAAAGAAACATACCATAGATTCATATTATGAGAAGAGTGAAGATCAAGATAGAAATTCTGAAGAGGACAACATTGTCAACAAACCCACATCTGCAACATCAAAAGGGAATATGAACCAGTCTGAAGCCCAAAAAGCCTTCTTAGAAGTGCTCAAGAAGGATTTCAAAAGTCTAATGAGAGAGGCAGAAGAGTCCTTAAAAAACACATTTGGCCAATTGGAAAAAAAGTACACTGAAGAAAACAAATCCCTTTAAAATACAATTGGCCAATTGAAGAAGGAAGTACAAAAACTAACAGAAGAAAACAATCTGTTAAAAACTAGAATTGGACAAATGGAAACTAGTGACTCTATGAGAGAGCAAGAATTAGTCAAAGAGGGCAAAAAAATGAAAAAATAGATGAAAACATAAAATACCTCATTGGTAAAACAACTGACCTGGAAAATAGATCCAGGACAGACAATTTTAAAATCACTGGACTACCTGAAAATCATGATGAAAAAAAGAGCCTGGACAGTATCTTTCAGGAACTCATAAAGGAAAACTGCCCTGAAGTCCTAGAACCAGAAGGTAAAGTAACCATAGAAAGAAAACTCCAGTCACCACCTCAAAGAGATCCCAAATTGACAATGCCAAGGAATATAGTAGCAAAACTCCAAAATTACCAGATGAAAGAGAAGGTGCTGCAAGCAGCCAGAAAGAAACAATTTAAATACCATGGAACCACAGTCAGGATTACACAGGACCTTGGAGCTACTACATTAAAAGACCTCAGGGCATGAAGCATGATATTCTGTAAAGCAAAGGAACTTGGATTGAAGCCAAGGATCAACTACCCTGCAGAAATGAGCATCATTTTTCAAGGGAGGAGATGGATATCCAACGAAATAGGTGACTTCCAAACCTTCCTGATAAAAAGACCAGAGCTCAACAAAAAATTTGATCTTCAAGTACAAGATTCAAGAAAGACATAAAAAGGTAAATGGGTCAGAAAGATACAAAATGTTGTTAATAAGGGCGGACTGTTTATATTCCTACAAAGGAAGGTGACACTTGCAACTCTTGAGAACCGTATTGTTATTACACCATGTTAAAGGAATATACATAAAGGGGATGGATATTAGTTGACTTTGATGTAATGATTAAAAAAATCTAATTAAGTGGGTTAAATGGATCCAAGGAAGTGGATTAGTCTGATCTTAGAAAATGTACTGAGAAAGGAGGAGGCAGAGAAGGGCAAATTACATTACAGGAAAAGACAGAAAATCCTATTACAGCAGAGGGAAAGAAGGGAGGGGGGTGAGCATTGTTTGAACCTTACTCTCATCAGATTTGGCTCAAGAAGGGAATAACAGGGGCAGCTAGGTGGTGCAGTGGATAGAGCACCAGCCCTGAAATCAGGAGGACCTGAGTTCAAATTTGGCCTCAGACCAAACACTTGACACTTACTAGCTGTGTGACCCTGGGCAAGTCACTTAACCCCAATTGCCTAAAAGCAAAAAAAAGAAGGGAATAACATAATCAGTTAGATAATAGAAATCTAACTTGCCTTATAGGCAGCAGGAGGGAAAAGAGGAAAGAAAAGGGAGGGAGGGTAGAAGGGAGGGAAGAAGCAGTAAGGGCAAAGGGGAAGAAAAGGGAAAGGGATAATAGAAGGGAGGAGAGGAGGCAGTGGTAAAAGCAAAACAGTAGTGAGGGGGGAAAGGAGAAAGAAAAGCAAAAACGGGGGGAAAAAGGATGGAGAAAAAGACATAGATAGTAATCATAACTGTGAAAGTTGAATCGCTATCTTTTTTTTTCTCTTCTGTTGAGTTTTGTTTCCTCTTTTTGATGGTTCCTGCTATTGGCTTTAATTTTTACTTACAACTTCACTAAAGTGAAAATATGTTTAATAGGAATATAAATGTGTAGCCTATATCAGATTGTGCACTGTCTTGGGGACGGTGGTGGGGAGGAAGGGGAAGAAAAATTTAAAACTCAAAAGCATGTGGAAGTGATTGTTGATAAATCAAAATAAATTAATAAAATTTTAAAAAATGCACATTAATAAAAAGACATTAAAAAGTGTCCTTTATTGTACCTTTCCTATTTGTTATTTGGTACTTACTACCTTGATTACTTCTATCTGGCTCTGCCAGATAACAACCCTCCTTTCAGTGAATTACTTCTATGTTTGTAGATGTCCTGGGAGTGACAAGGTTCCAAAATTCTGGATTTTAGTTAGCTGAAGTTTTACTCTATTTTGCTTACATTGCATAACCTTCTCCACATCTTAACTCTTTAACAAACAGCGTGGTGTAGTGGATAAAGTGCTTGACTTGTCCTCAAGAAGACCTGGATTTGTATTTTGACTTTGACATTTACTAACTCTGTGAACATGGGGAAGTCACTGAACTTGTTTGAGCCTCAGTTTTTTTGTTTGTAGAATAAGGAGCTTAGACTAGATTGATTCTTTAGTCTTTTTCCAACTTTAAATCTACGACATTATGATCCTGTCAATGTAAACTTCAGGGGGACAGGGACTGTATTATAATTTGTTTCTTAGTCTAAACATAATTTAAATATAATCAATAGATCTTTTTTGAATAAATGAAAGTTATGCATTTTGAAACCAATGTGAAATTATTATAGTGATGTTTAGGAAAAAATGTGATAAGTGCTTAGGAAAAAAGTGATATAGATTTTAAAGATAACATAAAAATATTTCAGGGATCCATGTTTTCATTGATGCAGTACTTCTCCACCAACTTAAATCCCAAATGCTTATGTAAAGGAGATACTAAAGAATAATCTTTCTAATTGCTGTGGTTGAAAAAAATTTTTTGGCTAGTCTGGCAGTAAATCTGTCTGGACTTAGCTAGGTTTATCAGTGGTTAAGATACATATATAGTCCATTGCTGGACCTCCATTTGGAGCCTTTCCACCTTACTAAGACCTGCCAGAGTTTTCTCTTCATCTCACTGAGTTGTTGGAGTCTGGCTTTAATAAAGGAAAGATAATGATAATAACAACTCACATTTAGCACTTAAAATGATTTTTTCCCTCACAGTTATCCTCTCTCATAGTAGTACATATCTTATTTTTCCCAAGATGAGAAATATGAATCTCAAAAGTTGTGACCTGCCTTTGGTCCCTCAGCTATTAAGTATAAGAATTAGGACTCAAACCTGATCTCCTGATTGTAAGCTCAGTGCTGTGTTCACTACCTCACGTTGCTATGTTTTAGAATATCCCAGAAACCATTGCCTCTGATCTTTCAGTCTGTGTAGAAGTATATAAAAGTGATTTTAAAAGAAAAGTTAGTTTTGAGACTTTGAAGAATAAATTGACAAATGATATGTTTCACTAGCATTTGGAGCCTGTGGAAAAATTTGTATCCAGTGTTGAAAGAATAAACACTAATTAAGGAAACATTACTTACTGCTGACAAATGTAAAGATGATTAAATATGAAAAGTACTGATATGAAAATTCCTGCTGATACAGTCTAGCAATATTTGATGTGTATAGATTATTGTCCTTTGTACTGAATTTTACCTCATAAGGTACTTAAGTCAAAGTAGGAAATTCTTTTTTCAACTAAGATAGGTCCAGTAAAGTGATCTAAGACATTTTTCATAATGTTTCAATATATAATTAATTTCAGATAAATGAATAAACTTTTTTGTCCTTTTCTCTTGCAGAAATCATTTCTCTAGAAGTTCAGTTGCTGCTGGTGGGCAGAAAGGAAAATCCTATTATACGATTACATTCACAGTCACTTTCCCACATAAGGACGATGTTTGCTATTTTGCTTATCATTATCCATATACATACTCAACTTTACAGGTGAACTAATTTGTTAATTGCATTATATTTATGACTAATTACACAAATGACATATAACTCAATATTGGTTTTTGTAGAAGTATAATATTTTCTTTTAATTAATCATCTTAATGAATAAGGAACAAACCAGAAATTACAGGGTTAGTTGTATATTTGGCAAATGTTTGAATTCTTTGGTGAGGAAAAAAGGAAAGGAAATAAGGGGGTTGGCAAATAATTATTTTGTTCCTTTCATAAAAAAAATGATAAATATAATCAGTATTTTAGGTAGGCAGTCAGAGTTCTCCAAAATTTTATATAACCTTCCTTTGTCTTTTTTCCCACTATTCCTTTTAATATACCCTATGTAGGAATTTGTATTGCTCCATTCCAATTCTTACCCATTTTTTAAGGCTCAAATGTAATTCTGACTTATGAAGCTTTTCTTAATTTATCCCATACATATTAAAATATCCCTCTTTTGAACTACCATGGCTTTTTTCACTGTCACATTCTTCATTGTATTATAGTTATCCAAGTATATCTATTTCTTCTATAATTTTATGGATCTGTGATCTCATTGCTATGGATACTTCCTCTGCTGATGTAGATTGTAATCCCCATGCCTGTGCATGTGGTGTAGGGCATTTAAACATATCCTTCTGTAGATCTGTTACAGGGTGTCCACCCAACAAATTTGAACCTTTGTCTAGATTTCTTGACATTATGTGTGTACCAGTGGAGCGCATAAATGCCCATCTGTTATTCCTCACTTTTGCTACGTGAGTGGCCTACCTTTGGCTTTTTCCAGTTATACATTTCTCTGATAACATTTTTTTATGCTACTTCTACACAGTTCCTTGTTTATGATGAGTTGTGGACTACTTATATTCACCATAAGCTTTATTATTTTTAGCTTATCCTCAATTTTGGTTCTTTTCAGACTGGTATTTGATGACCATGCTTATACAGTTATCACTGCAAGAATATTGATATTAAATGATGGGCTTTGGTTTCAAGGAGAAACTCAAGTCATTAAAAGAAATGCATAATTTCCCAAAGGCAATTAGTCCACTTTTCCCTACTTCAATTTAGTCTAGCTCATTGTCTTTTTGCAGTGTCTGTCCAAGATATATGTAATTATGGATAAACTCTGAGTTGTCCATTTAAGTGTTTATCCTACTATGGAAAATAGGTATTCTTTATATTCTTGTTTTGTTTTGTGTGAGTGGTTAAACTGAACTCGTGAGTGATTACATTTTTCACGTAGAAGGCCCTACAGTGTTCCAAAGCTGGATGAAATCAGCACCATGTCATCTGCTTCTGGAGTAAGGAATACCTTTTCAATTTGTGGTCTGTGCTGGACATATTCCATAAAAGTGGCAACACTTTTGAATAACATACTTCTCCTAGTTTTATATATCACTTGCTGTTAGTAATGAGAAAGTCACCTAACAGTTCTGTCTGTTGTTATTCATTTCAAGGAATCTTGAATGATTTTGACATGTGCAGGGAAGAAAAATTTTTGAAAGAATTTTTAAAGCAGCATTTTGCTTTCTTGAAGCAAATGCTTTTTTTATAGTCAATGAGCAATATGCACAACAGGATCTTGTATTCTCTATATCTTTCAGTCAATTGTATCAGTATAAATATATGATGTGTAAAATATAATTTGTGAAAGCCGTTGTATCCTTTTCTCATACCTTCTTCAAGTATGACTTTAATTCTTATAAGTACATTGTTTTCAAAATTTTTGCAGAGACGGGAAAATAGACATATAGGTCAGTAATTTTTTAAAAAAAAATTTAAAATTTGTTTAGTATTTTGTTTTCCCCTGGTTACATGTAAAAATAATTTTAACATTTGTTTTTAAAACTTTGAGTTCCAAATTCTTTCCATTCCTCTCTCTCCACCCCTCTACATTGAGAAGGCAAGCAATTCAATATAGGTTATACATATGTAGTCATGCAAAACATATCCATAATAGTCATGTTGTGAAAGAAAACACAGACAAAAAAAAACCTCAAGAAAAATAAAGAAAATAAAAAAGTGTGCTTCAGTCTGTATTCAGACACCACCAGTTCTTTTTCTGGAGATGGATAGCATTTTTCATCGTAAGTCCTTCAGAATTATCTTGGGTCATGAGAATAGCTAAGTCATTCACAGCTTATCACCTTACAATATTGGTGTTACTTTGTACATTTCACTTTGCATCACTTTTCAAGTCTTTCCAGGTTTTTCTGAATGCATCTTGCTCATCATTTCTTATAGGACAATAGTATTCTGTTATAATCACATACCACAATTTGTTCAGCCATTCCCCAGTTGATGAGCATCCCCTCACTTTCTAATTCTTTGCCACCAGAAAGAGCTGCTATAAATATTTTTGTATATAAAGGTCCTTTTCCTTTTTTTTTTTATCTCTTTTGGGATACAGACTTAGTTGTGGTATTGCTGGGTCAGAGGGTATGCATGGTTTTATAGCCTTTGCGCATAGTTCCAAATTGCTCTACAGAATGGTTGATCGGTTCATAGCTCCACTAACAACACATTAATGTCTTATTTTTCCCATGTTCCCTCCAACATTTGGCATTTACCTTTTCTGTTCTATTAGCCAATCTAATAGATGTGAGGTAGTACCTCAGAATTGTTTTAATTTGCATTTCTCCAACCAATAGTGAATTAGAGTATTTTTTCATATGGCTATAGATGGCTTTGATTATTTTGTCTGAAAAGTGATCATATCTGTTGATCATTTATCAATTGAGGAAAGGCTCTTATTTTTGTAAATACTCAATTCTCTATATGTTTGAGAAATGAGGCCTTTATCAGAGAAACTTGCTTCAAATTATTTTTCAGTTACTATTGTTAACTGTATTTCCCTCTATCCTATTCCTTTCCTACTTTATTCTTTTCACTCTCTCCTTTCATCATGTCCTTCCTTAAAAGTGTTTTGCTTCTGACTATCCTCTCCCCTAGTCTGCCCTCCCTTCTATCACATTCTCTCCTTCTCCCCACCCCCTGCTCTCTTATTCCCTTCCCCTCCTACTTTGTAGGGTAAGATGGATTTCTACACCTAGTTGTGTGTGTGTTATTCCCTCTTTGAGCCAATTCTGATGAGAGTAAGATTCACTCACTCCCCCTCACCTCTCCCCTCTTCTCCTCCACTGTAAAAGCTTTTTCTTGCCTCTTTTATGTGAGATAATTACCCCATTCTACCTCTCCCTTTCTCTTTCTCCCAGTATATTCCTCTCTCACCCCTTAATTTTAATTTTTAGATATCATCCCTTCATATTCAACTCACACCTGTGCCCTCTGTCTATATATACTCCTTCTGATTACTCTAATAATGAGAAAGGTCTTATGAGTTACAAATATCATCTTCCTATGTAGGAATGTAAACAGTTCAAAATTATTAAGTCCCTTATGAGTTCCCTTTCCTGTTTACCTTTTTATGCTTCTCTTGAGTCTTATTTGAAAGTCAAATTTTCTATTCAACTCTGGTCTTTTCATCAAGAATGCTTTAAAGTCTTCTATCTCATTGAATGACCATTTTTTCCTCTGAAGGATTATACTCAGTTTTGCTGGGTAGGTGATTCTTGGTTGTAATCCTAGCTCCTTTGACCTCTGGAAATCATATTCCAAGCCCTCTGATCCTTTAATGTAGAAGCTGCTACATCTTGTGTTATCCTGATTGTGACTCCATGATACTTCAATTGTTTCTTTCTGGCTGCTTCCAATATTTTCTCCTTGACCTGGGAACTTTGAAATTTGAATATAATATTCTGGGAGTTTTCATTTTGGAATTTCTTTCAGGAGGTGATTGGTGGATTCGTTCAATTTGTATTTTATCCTCTCATTCTAGAATATCAGGGCAGTTTTCCTTGACAATTTCTTGAAAAGTGATGTCTAAGCTTTTTTAAAATTATGGCTTTCAGGTAGTCCAGTGTTTTTTAAAAATTATCTCTCCTGGATCTATTTTCCAGGTCAGTTGTTTTTTCCAATGAGATATTTCACATTGTCTTTTATTTTTTTATTGTTTTGGTTTTGTTTTACAATTTCTTGATTTCTCATAAAGTCATGAGCTTCCATTTGCTTCATTCTAATTTTTAAGGAAGTATTTTCTTCAGTGAGCTTTTGGATCTCCTTTTCCATTTGGCCAATTCTTTTTAAGGCATTCTTCTCCTCATTGGCTTTTTGGACCTCTTTTCTCCTTTGGCCTAGTCTGTTTTTTAAGCCTGTTACTTTCTTCAGTATTTTTTTGTTGTGTATGTGTTTGTGTGTCTCTTTTATCAAGCTGTTGACTCTTTTTTCATGATTTTCTTGCATCACTGTCGTTTCTCTTCCCAATTTTTCCTCTATCTTTCTTGATTTTTAAAATCCTCTTTGAGCTCTTCCATGGACTGAGACCAATTCATATTTTTCTTTCAGGCTTTGGGTGTAGGAGCTTTGACTTTGTTTTCTTCTGAGTGTGTGTTTTGATCTTCCTTGTCACCATAGTAACTTTCTATAGTCAGAGTTTTTTTCTGTTGCTTGCTCATTTTCCCAGCCCATTATTTGACTTTGAACTCTTTGTTGAAGTAGGACTCTGCTTCTAGGGTGGCGGGTGCATGGTCCCAAGCTTCAGGGGTTTTGTACAGCTCTTTTCAGATATACTTTTAGGGACCTGTAAGTTTTCAGTTTTTCTAAGGTGGTATGATGAAAGGAGAGGTGTTTACTATTCTCCTGGCCTGTGCTGTGGTCTGTGAGTGAACACAAGTACTTTTTTCTGCCCTGGAATTGTGAGGGGGTCCCCCCTCCACTGTTGTATGGCCATAAGCTTTGCTATACTAGTGCTCCTCCTTATCCTGGAGCTGCCATCTAGAACTGTGATCCGGATCAAAGTACTGGCAAAGCAACAGAGTGCTAGGTCTCAGTGCTAGCAAAAAGACCCCTGTAATCTCCTTCTGACCAGTTATTCAACCTCCTTACCATCTGTGGGCTGAGAGTTCTGGAAGCATCCACTGCCACTGCTGCTGCTGATTTGGTCACTCCCAAGGCCTGCTCCTGGCTTGCTGTGGCTTGGGCTGAGCTGGCATGGTTTGCACAGACACATGTGTGACAGCCCCTTCCTGCTGACCTGCTGTCTTTGGTGTCTGTGGGCTGAGAGGTTTGGAAACTGCTACTGCTGCCATTGATTCAGTTGCCCTGAGGCCTGCTCCGGGTTTGCTGGGGCCTGGTCTGCACTGGCACAGCCTGTGCTAGACTGTGCTCCTCTCTCTTCCTGGTGCAACAGACACTTTCCTGCTGACCTTCCAAGTGTCTTGATCTGTAAATTTGTTTCACTGTATCTTTTTATGGGTTCTTCTGCTCTACACTTTGTTTAAGAGTCATTTTTATTTTTTATTTTTTTATTTTTTTTGGGTAGGCAATGGGGTTAAGTGACTTGCCCAGGGTCACACAGCTAGAAAGTGTTGTGTGTCTGAGGCTGGATTTGAACTCAAGTCCTCCTGAATCAAGGGCCAGTGCTCTATCCACTGCACCATGTAGCTGCCCCTAGAAACATTTTTAAAAGGTATTTTGAGGGATTTGAGAGAGAGCTCAGGCAAGTCCCAGTCTTTACTCTGCCATCTTGGCTCTACCCTCTTGGTTTTTTTTTTTTAAGATCAGTAGTTCTTGACAGTCTCTTCGTCACCTCTTTTTTGTGAAATAATAAAGTCCATCACCCATGCCTTTGGTAGCCTTTCCGTTTTCAGCCATATGGAACATCCTCAAAATGAAGTCACTGCTAGTATTGACCTCTTTTGTGTACACAGCCTAGTTTAGCCATTTTCCCCAATTTTATTTTTCCCAGTGCCACTTCTGCTTCCTAATGCTCTACTTCTAGAACTGATATGTTAGATTCCAAATGTCTTTGAAGGTGAAGTTAGCTGTTAAAATGTTCACAGATTTTTTCCTTTTTTTTGTTTTGTTTTTTGTTTGTCTGTTTCTTGTCCTTCCATTTTCATCCTTAAATGCCCTTAGGATTACATTGCGTAGTTGGTTCTCTTGCTAAGATTAAACTTGTTTTTTTCTTCCTCTGCGTTTTGTTGTTTTAAGAGCTGATATTACTCATAATTTTCCACTGTGCTTATTCATATGATTTTACAAACAAGATTATATTCTGCTCCAGTGTTGGCTTTGTATGCTTTATCTTTCTCCTTGGTAAGGAGATCAAGTGATTGCCAAACAAGATACTTTCTAGACTCTTTTGTTGATTTATATCATTTAAACTTCCTTAGGGAATGTTATAATCATTATCAATGTCTAGTGTTCCATCCGCTTAACATTCTTCAACATCAGTTGAATAGATCAGGTTGGAGTTGTTAAATGGGCACCATATATTTTTCTCATCTTTATTTTTTATTAGTTTTTAATCTTGACTTTTGCTCTGATAAATAAGTGGCCTGAAGATAAGCAGATAGCTAGCTGAGGAATGATTCCCTCATAAGTAATATTTCCTGTCTATTAAAATATAATGAATTTTACTTTTTATTATATTACTTGGTACTTACTATCTCCATCTCTTTTCTTAGAGAAAGTACTTATTTATGATGTATAGATGAGGCTTCTGTGTGGCCTATACACCTCTGGCTTCTTCACTTTCTTACTTCTGAATTTTCCAACTTTTTTTCCTCCTCCATGCTCACCTTTGCATTGAAGTTACTATGAAGATCAAAATATGTCTTGATTTAATTTGCTTTAAAAAATAAAATTCTTCATAAAATTTTTCTGTTTCCTCATTCCCTGCAACAGATGTTGGCACATAAACCAATTCTTTTCACAGTGTTATTTTTACCAATGCTTATCATGAGCATGGACAGCAAGATTACCATATGTCCCATAAAATGATGTTTCTTGTTAACCCTGGATGCACGATAAAATGAACTTTGCCAACTCTTTCATTCTCTTCTCTGAGGAAGAACTGTGAACCATTTTTCCATTTAGCTACAACTTCCTTTTGTCTTATGGTTTCATTTTTAGTGAGTTCAAGTTAATATGATTAAGTTCCTCCATTTGTATGTCTACTCAGTCGCTGGATGAGAATCTCACATTTAAGATCCCAACAGCTAAGTTTAAGACTATAGATAGTCTGAAAATGTGTGATGCTTCGCACCGTCTCCTAACCTTTTCATCATCCAACCTCCATTACTGCAGAAACAAGAGGACATTATATAAGAATGAGGATGATTTTGTGTTTTTCTTTGTTTCATTGATTGCCATGGCCAGTGGATTAATTGCCAAGGGGCTAGATCACTGGTGCTGAGGCTAATCCTCAGAAAGCTGACCTAGTCTGTTGCCAGGACTATACTATAAGTCTTCTAGAATGTCAGATCCTGCCAAAATTTGTACAGGCAATTCTTCTATAATGCTTGTTTTGAAAATGCAAATTTGTTCTAGCAAGATTCATATATCAGGGAACAATTTGGGCAGATGTGAACTTCATCTTTCCTTATACATGATTTCATCCCCAAGGAACACTTAAGTGAATGCAGAAGGCTGTACTCAGCTGAACTGAGCCATGTAGGAATACACAAGATGCACAGACCTCAAACATCTCTGCCAGTTGCTTCTGTTCATCATATATATTACCCTACGTGGTTGTGTTTTACTGTTCTTTTGTATTTGCGAACTTTTCTATATGAAAAAAACCACACCTTTAACATCCCCAAAATCTTAGGAGACATCTAAGTGTTCTGTTTCAAAAATGCCAAGCAGTTCTTGCAACAGGAAAACTTTTAAGTATTGATGAGAAGCCTGAAATAATAAAGTGCTTTTGAAAGAAAAGAGAGAATACATGATCTCTCCTGAGCAAGAGGCCTAAAGGAGTCCACATTTTAGACTGTCAGAGACAACACTGAAAAAAATAAAAGAAACTTCTATTGTTTGAAGTGTTGTGTCTCTAACCCCATTTTCCCATAAGATCTCTGGTTTTTATGGTGCAATTTTGCATACTGAGATAATTTTTAGGAAATTATATGCTGTGTTATAGCAGAACTAAATGTGCTCTGCTGACATAGACATAATTTGGTGTTACCTCCAAGCTATGATGAGGTATCAGATTAGGACCCTGAGTATGTACTAACTTCCCTATCTGACTATAAATTTCCCTAAAGCAAAGACTATTTCATATTTTTTGTTTGCTGGCTGTGTGACTCTTGGTTGGTCACTCAATATTTCAGTGTCCCAGGCAACTCTTTAAGACAATAACTTCCAGGAAAGGTACCAATCTGCTTCAGTGGAAGTTCCTTATTCTTTGCCATATGCTTCCTACACTAATGAAACTACAGATCCAATTCTCCCCAAGCAAAACAAACAAAAAACCCTATCCTTACCATCTAGAAATTATTGTGGGTGGGAATGTTAGTCTCAAGTTTATTCCATAGTTATTTTTGAGAGTTTTAAAACATCTTCATAGTGTCACAAAGCAAAAACTCATGTTTCATTAATTTTTATGTGCTAGCCAGCTGAAATAATTTGTATTGAGATAGCAGATGTCAGATAATACAAGTGATTCAACTGTCAAAGGTGTTTGAGGAAAATGATTTTGTTTCCAGAGCAGAATTATTATGTATGTTGAATATGACTTATCTACTGAAAGAATGTTCTGAAGGGAATTTTTTTTTTTGCTTGTAAGGAATTGAGTTCTATGTTGATAGAAGTATGAAGTGTTAAATTCTCATTTGTGCAAATTATAAAGTTACTATGTTGCTATCCACCTATACTGGTATAGAATCCTGAATGCTTTACTTTCTGTATACCATAAGGGAGATTTACAAAAGACTTTATGCTGTGCTTTTTAAACATTTTTGTTATTAAGATGCATCTTCAAAAATTGGAATCATCACACAACCCTCAGCAAATCTATTTTCGACAAGATGTGTTATGTGAAACTCTGTCTGGAAACAGCTGTCCTTTATTGACTATAACTGCTATGCCAGAGTCCAATTATTATGAAAATATCTGTCAATTTAGTAAGTATTAATTGCTTTAAACAAAACAGATGTTTCCTAGTTGTCTTGGCTACAGTCTTTCCCTTAGATATTAAGGAAGTATTAAACTAATTACATTTAAAGTATAACATGCCTTTATATTGTTTGAAGAGTTCATTAAGTAATGCTTTTGGTGTTTAAATGTAATAACATATTAAGAGACCTATCAAATATGGTAGCACAATTAGATGCCTGCCTTCAGCTATTCCTTGAATATCTTCAGAGTTTCAAAATGTCTCATTTTTATATTCTTTTTCTATAAATATAATTTTGGTGAAGTTGATATAAAATAAAATTTTTTAGAAAAACAAATGAGAGGGGAATCCACATGGTACAGTGAAAAAAAAAACACTAATCCTGGAGGAAAAAGACCTGAGGTTAAACAACCCTGGCTATTCTGCTTGCTCCCTGTGTGACTTGGGAAAAGTCACTTACTTTCCTGATGTTTCAGTTCCGTCATCTGTAAGATGAAGTTTATGGACTTGAGGGTTTCTGAGGACCCTTCCAATTCTAGATCCGTGATCTTATGGTAATAGAGAGTGCACACACACACACGTATTCTCTATTCAGACTACCTTGTCTCAGAGTGACAGTTTTCTCTGTACAAAGGGAAAAAATGAAGAGAGACTCATTTATATGCTGGCCTTGATATATGGGTGAAGTTATGGGAGGATGAGCTAAGTTCTTTTATAGGACTGATTGCCAAAACAATGCAAAAATATGGTAGTTTGGAAATCAAGTATTGAAATTTGATAGGCCTTTAACCTTACTGCCTATAAAACAGGGATAGAAATACATACTTCTTCCTGTTTTCTTTAGCTTTTTTGAGTATGACAGATTAAAAAAAAGTATAACAATTCAAGTTCTCCCCAACAATTGCTTACTTATAAGATGGTATTACATACTCATTTCAAATATTATAAAATTAGAAGTCCAGTCATAAGTGAATTATTTAATTAGTAATGATCACTGTGTTTTTTATTATGTCATCTTATATTCAGGTCCATAGTTAAGTAGATAAGTTCCCAAAGTCATTAAATAAAAATATTTTTATTTTAAACTTTAACTGTTCGTTTTAACATGACTTTTATATTTAGGAAATCGCCCTTATATTTTCTTATCTGCTCGAGTACATCCTGGAGAAACTAATTCAAGTTGGGTTATGAAAGGAACTTTGGAATATCTCATGAGTAATAATCCTACTGCTCAGAGCTTGCGTGAATCCTATATTTTCAAAATTGTCCCTATGCTAAACCCAGATGGCGTCATTAATGGAAAGTAAGTTAAAACCACTACTATAAAAATCTTTCTCTTATGAATGATCTTTAAGATTTGTTGATATGTCAGTGTCCAAGTTAATTTGGAAAATTGAGGCACATCAGTTTTTATCCCAAAATAAAGCAAGTTTTAATATAGAAATATTTAGGATTAATTTAAAATTAGTTATATGTTATTTCTTATAAGTATGAATGGAAAGGTGCCTGGTGATTTTGATTATCAGATTTATTGAGATGCTCCATTCTTTGAATCAAAACATTGTGGTATCTAAACATAGCAAGAACATCTAGTGCAACTTCCTCATTTAATTTATTACGTATGAGACTAGAATTCATTAAATGATTGTTCTTTGGTGTACAGTATGCTACACATAGAGGCTTTTATCTTACTCAAGCAGTGCTTTTGTTGTTTTGGAGATGACACAGTTTGTTGCTTTGGAAAAAATACATCCATACTTTTTCCTCTTTTTAATTTTAGCAGGACACTAGCTTGTCTCAAGTTGTAGAATTTTTTGGAGATTGTTTCCATTGCCTTTGTATAACCCTACTGCTAAATTATTCCTAATATGAAAGAATGGCAGTTACTGAGTACTGAATTTTAAAAGAGAACTCTTTCTAAAAGGCAGGGGTTTTAAGAGGTAGGAATTTATTCAGGTATTTGTAGACATAGTCATAAAAGTTTTTTCCCTAATTGATAAATTTGTTGCCATGATCCTTTCTCTATTTTCATTTCAAAGTGAATTGGTAGGTTGAGTAGGTAGGTAGACCATAGCTAATTCTTCTAATGTAGAAACAACCTGAATATTTTTTCACATTTTTTTAGTATTAGGGAATTGTGGTTTATAACCCAGTTCCAGGGAGAAATAATTAGCCCATTCTGAATTAAAATCCTCTTTATAGTTTATTAGCCACCTCTAATTATTTGTTTAACAACTCTGCTGCCTTCCTTAATTGATTGTGCCCAGTAGAAAATTAGGATATCTGTTATTATAATAATGATTTTATGTAGTATTTTACATCTTACAAAATTATTTTGTGTATATCTTTTGATCCTCATTCCAACCCCATGGAACAATAGGGTGGTAGGTATTGTTCTTATTTTATAGGCTGGGAGACAAAGACTCAGAGCCAAGAACCTAATTAAAATCTTAATTATGAGGTTATTTCGAGTACATTGGAACATATATTAATTTTTCAAAAGTGGGAAAATTCTAACTTATGATATTTCACTATGGTGGCAGAATTTTATATATTTATTCTGAATTAGATGACTATGTACATTTGAATTATGTAGTAAAAATAACCACAAATTTAAATAAGAAATATTTTTGAATGGATTAAGTAATGGTTTTGGTAACAAGTTGCTTTTTTTCTTTGTGTGTATGTTTGTGTTTATGTAGCCACCGTTGTTCTTTAAGTGGAGAAGATTTGAACCGGCAGTGGCAAAGTCCAAACCCAGATTTGCATCCTACAATTTACCATGCTAAAGGTCTGCTGCAGTATATGGCTGCAATCAAACATTTACCTCTGGTAAGTGTCAGCTCTTATTTTTAGGCAGCTTAGTCAAGGAGCTGAATATATAAATCCATAGCAATATATTAAAATCAAGAAACATTTATTAAGCACCTACTATGTGCAGGGAACTGTGGTATGTGTTGCTTATATATCAAAACATGATAGAAGAACCACATCTAAAAATTTTTATGTTATTTTGCTAATTATAAGTGCTTAGTAAATGTTAAGTCATTTCCCTATAAGTAATGACTTAGAAGTGATTTCACTGATTTTAATAAATAGATTGATATCCTTAAAAAAACCAAAACACTACAGTTGTTTGTAAAATCTTTGTTAGCCTTAGTTTCCTCATCTATAAAATGAAAGATTTGAATAGGATGATTTCCCTTCTAGTTCTGAATCTGTGATCCTACTATTCTATGAATATTTAATCAGATCATCTTTATTAGACAATTTTGTATTTCTGTGTTTTCTTACAATTTAATTTGAAAGTAATATTTGCGGTTTTCTTCATATCTGATAATTGACGGACCTTTACTTTTTACTTCCATTTGTACTTCAACTTTTACTTGTTCTAGAAATTTTAATGACTTGGTTATGAGTTGCTGTGCTACAGGGTGTTTGGTTCCCTGTTTGAGCATCACTGCAATAATGTATGCATCGTTTAAATGCTTAAAATCTTAAATTTCCCAAACAAATAAAATCATGATTACATTTATGCTAGAAAGTCTCATGCATACAAATTAAGAAATTTCTGGTCAGTACTCAGTTTGTTAAAGCTTCCAGAAGAGCCATCACCAGGATAATGTATGTGTAATGTGAGACTGTATATTGGACTGCTTGAATGCTTGTGTGTATGTCTATGTATATGTGTGTGTTTCTTGTCTTTCTTTTGAGCATGTCTGCCTTTCAACTTTAATAAAATGTTTCCAGTTTATTAAAGTTTAGATTATTTAAGCTACTAAATCTGTCCTTTACTTTTTAATTTTTAACATATTGAAACATAATTTTTATAATTATTTTTTCAATGTCTGACTTCTGAAATTACTAATTAATTAAAACTCCAGCAACCTTTTGAGGTAACAGTAGCAGCATTTTGCAAACCAAAATTATAATAAAATTGGAAAGAGAAAAATATTGAATAGCTATATCACAGATCAAAAAATTAAGCAGTAGGACCTGTGGTTTGGCCTGCAGAGTATTGGCAGGCATTGATTTTACCAGAGGTTAAGTATTCTCAAGCCTGAGTATTACTTCCTGAAATGGCTTTACTTTGTGTTAAATTGTATCTCTAGTGAGATTAAGAGGCTTAGAAATATAATTCCAGAACAGGTTTGAGGATACTTACCTGTATTTTGATAATGTTTGAAACCTGAGCTTTAAAATGATCTGAATATGATATTGTCACTTGTAGGTTTACTGTGATTATCATGGTCACTCTCGAAAGAAAAATGTATTTATGTATGGCTGCAGCATCAAGGAGACTGTGTGGCATACTAATGATAATGCTGCCTCTTGTGATGTCGTTGAAGATATGGGATACAGGGTGAGTTCTATAAAGTTCATGTGCATTCTCTGCTTTGCAGAAGAGCTTATAATCTCATTCCTCTTCTTTTTCCTTCCCTTTCCTTCTTCCTCTTTCTTCAGCCCCTCCACCCCTACCTCCTTCTGTCCCCTAGAAAATGAGCAAAACAGGAATCATTCAAGGAAGAATCAAGTAATGCTATGCATGTAAATAGCTACTCAATAAAGATTTTTAAAATAGATTAAAGAATGAAATAGAAGCTATGGACATCTGAAAATACAGGTGTGGCGTAGGATAACAGTATAGCTAGGAATACACAAAAACTCCAACCCTTAATATGGGTGCTTAACATTGGAAAGATGTACACACTTATGTTCCAGATTTCTAGATGATTTCCCTTAAAGATTCACCATGGAGTTATCATCTCCTGGTCATGTTATTCCAGGTCCATTGACTCTTTCTTATGAAGATTCACTGTGGAGTTATGATTCCCAGTTATCTAAGGGGCCACTGTTGCCCAGGCTTCTCAGAAGGAAATCTATTCATCTTCTGTGTTCCTCACTACTCCTTGCCAAATTTAGCATGTAGTTCTTTCTTCAGTCTTCTAAAACCAAAAAAAAAAAATTCACTTCTAGGGACAAATAAAGAAAGACACCATTCAGAAATTTGAGGGCATATCATTCACTAATCTGTAGGGCAGGGACCACATAAATTCTTATTGAATGCTGGAAATAACATATTTGTTCTATATAGTGTACTTTTTGTTTTGTGTGTTTGAAAAAGTTTTAAGTTTATGATTTTACATGTCTGAGGAAGACATCAGGCTCCTATCAACATTTGGTAGGAATTTAGTGTTTTGTTATAACCTCCATCCTGTGTTATATGTAGTAGTTCCTTAATAAGTCTTTCTTAAATGAACTAGGTTTTTGTGGTCTCAATCCTCAGTTTGACACTGAAGATCTTCCATTATCTGGTTCCCATCTATATTTCCAGTCTTATTTCATATTGTTCGCCTTCATTCTCTCTAATCGAAATCAACTGCTCATGTTTCCATATATATAGGACATCTCCTGTCTCTCTGTCTTGCATGTGCTGGAATGCATTCCTTCATCACTGTTACCTTATAGAATTCTCAGTGTCCTTCAAATTAGGAGCTCTTAACCCCTTTGTATGTATAGATTTCAAGGTGTACATCAACTTGAATATAATTGGTTTCCTTTGTAAGCCTATATATTTTATCTTGAACATTTAAAACCATTATTCTGAGGAGTCCATAGACTCTACCAGATTGTCCAAGGGTTCTGTTACAAAAAAGGTAAAGTAAAGCACAACTCAGGTGCTAGTTTTTACATGAGGCCTTTCTTGACATCCTCTTCCAGTCAACTTTTGCCTTCTTGAAATCATCTTGCTCATGCTTTTTATTTATTTAGATGTTTATATCATCTCTTACCAGTAGAATGCAAACCCTGTAAGGGTAGAAATGGTTTCATTTTTGTCTTTGAATCCCCAGTGCCTAGTAAAGTGTTTTATGCATAGTAGATGCTAAATAAATGTTTGTTGAATCGAATCACATCTGTAATTGCTAGGAAGTATGAGGGATATGTTACTGAAAAAGGTAACTTGTTGATACTCCTCACCTGTTCTGAGCCATTATTCTTCCTTTGGGTCTGCTTTTCCCTTTTCCCCAGCAATTAGTCTGCTATGGAGTAAATATTATGATTGATTAGCAGTGTATATCAACATGTCATCTATATATCCATTCTCATCTTTGCCAGGGCCTATGCAGCAAATAGAACTCAGAAAAAATGAAGAATCATGAAGGAATAAGGGTGACTTGTAAATAAGTATTCCAAACCAGGAACTGGAAATCCCTTCATTAGCTCTTGTACTGATTTCAGTTACCCATTTTTGTTTAAGGGTAGTAAAGAGAACAGTGAACTATATTAGTTTTTGATTGACCTATCCTAAAAGGTGAACTTCATTTTCTCTTTAATTTTTCTGTAATTAGTAGTGTTGAATAATTCTTTACCTTATGTAGCAATATTATTTTGCTATGAAGGAAACATGGAGTCTGGTAAAAGTTAAGTTAAAAATTGCTTCTTATTTGTATAATGCTTTCATACTTGACATCAACTCTGATACTGAAGTTATGAACTGGTTTGAATTAGAAACCTTGTCTCTGGAACTCCTAAAATTGAGGTCATAGTTGTTTAACAAAACCACAGTTTGAAAAGCAGCAGGAGAAATCTTGGAAAGAGCTTTGGACTCAGAGTCTGAAGACCTGTCTTAGGATTTGGCTGTGCCATGTACAAGCTCTGTGACCATGGTCAAAACTGGGAAAATAACACCTTGTATTTCCTGCCTTACTGGATTGTTAGGAGGCATAAGTTTAAGCTATTATTATTTGAGCAGCTTCTGAATATTTTCTGCAGAAAATCCAGAATTCTAAGTGGGGCAGTTGAGGAATTATGGGGTAGATAGGAGCTAAACTAATCATTGTGATTTCATTTAACTTTGAAAAATGCCACTGATTTTCTTTCTCAGACTTTGCCTAAGATATTGAGCCGTACTGCCCCAGCATTCTGCATGAGCAGCTGCAGCTTTGTAGTAGAAAAGTCCAAACAATCTACAGCCCGTGTTGTTGTATGGAGAGAAATAGGAGTACAGAGAAGCTACACCATGGAGAGCACATTATGTGGCTGTGATCAAGGAAAATACAAGGTAAATCCTTCTGGTAAAATCAAAGCTTCCTTATTGAAAGTTTTTCATTTAAGATAGGCAATTGAAAAGAGTATTCTCATTCTAGAAGGCTTTCTTTTTCTTTTAAAGCAAATCCTATGTTTAACATTGTACCATAGCACTTTTTAAGTGTCAACAGGATCTGTTCTTCAATATTAACTCATTTCCCTCAAAAACACAAACATATTTATCAGATGATAAATCTAAATAAAGCTAATAAATCTGTAAATCTAGCTCTGCCTTTAGGATGAAATTAAATAACTTCTTGTCTTCCATTATAATTTCATTATTGTCTTAGTTCCTTTAAATTTGTGATTGGGGATAAATGTTTTAAGACTTACTTCTAGCTCGTAATTAGTAACTTATGGTGAATTTTCTTTTTTAACATAAATATTATTGATATCTTTTATTTGTACAGTAGCTAAATTTCCCTTGCATTCCTCCTCTTTTCCCTCTCAGAGAACAATCTTTCAAACTTAAAAGACATTTTTTAAAAAGAAGAAGAGAGAAAAGAAAAAAGATCAGCAAAACTGATCAATATAATGAAAAATCAGAAAATATATGCAATATTCCACTCTTGTGGACCCTCACCTCTGCAAAGAAATGATAGAAGTAGTCTTCTCATATCTGTTCCATGGGATTAAGGTTTTTCTTTGTAATTTTACACATTTATTTTAGTTTGTTTTGTGATGGTTGCTTTTTTTTTTTTTAAATTTACATTGTTGTAGTCACTATGTGTATTGTTTTCTTGACTGTGCTTACTTCACTCTACCCCAATTCATGTTAGCCTTTCCATGTTTCTCTCTGTTCATCATTATCATTGTTTCTGACAGCACAGTAATATTCCATTACATTCATGGTACCACATTCTGTTTAGCCATGCCTAAATTGATGGGTATATACTTTGTTTCCAGTTCTTTGCTAATAGAAAAAAAGTGATCCTATAAATATTTTGGTGTGTGTGGAGCCTTTTTATCAGTGGCCTCCTTGAGATACATGCCTGCCAATGGAATCTGTAGGTCTAATGATTTGAACATTTTAATCACTTTATTTGCTTAATTCCAAATGGCTTTCTAGTTCATGTTAATTCAGTTCCACTAACAATAAATTAGTTTGCCTCACTCTCTACAACTTGCCAGCATTGAATATTTCCATCTTTTGTCATCTTTGTCAATTTGCCAACCTCAGAGTTGTTTTGCTGCGTATTTCTATTAATATTAGTGACTGAGACATATATTTCTCTTAATGATTTTTTTATATCTTTTATTCCAAACCATTATCTGGAAAATTTGATAGCAAGATTTCTCCCCTACTTTTTAGTGGCATAATCTTTGATATTTAGGTCACAGATCCTTTTGAATTTATTTTAGACTATGGCATAAAATTTTGGTTTAGGCCTTATTTTTCCCAGATTGATTTCCAGGTTAACAGTACATTGTCAATGGAAACTTTTTCTACTGTCTTCATATATTAGATGTAGGAATAGAATTATGGATAGAATTATAGTATTTTAGAACAGAAGTCACCTTAGAAATCAGGTCCAATTCCCTCATCTTTTAAATCTTTTAGCATATTGCTCATGGAAGAGGTAAGATAACTTCCCATGGTTTCATAATTCTTGTTGTGTAAGTCTAAAAATGTTGTGTTAATGAAGCCAAAATAATCATTGTCAGTCTGTAATAAACTAGAAAGCATATAAAGATTTGTCAGTGAGACTCATACTTTCAGGGCTTGTTGAATGGGAACTTAGTGGCAGAGCAGGAACTAGAATCCAAGACTCCTGATTCAATCAAGAGTTCTTTCCACTCTATTATGTTGCCTCCTGATCTCTCTGTACTGTAGTATAATGTAAACATATTTGTAGTATGTTATTATGTATGGTAATGCATATTTATGGTATGTATTATTGTAGTCATATACACATGATCTTTATTAACAAACTACCTCAATCTTAATGTATGTGATATATTAAGGCTTTTTTAAAAAAATAATAAAGTGCTTACCACTGTCATCATAGTCATCTTGCTTTGATAGTCCTACCCATTGTGGGTTTTCCAATTACTTTCATAATTTCCCATTGGAAGTAAGGACATTTAAAAATTAGAGATATTTAAGATGCATGATAGAAGTAATTTTTAAAAGTTCAAAGCCACTTCAAAGACATAAGTATGAAAATTTTATGTATAGCAAATAGGACAGTTAGATGAACAATTAGAAAACCTGGATATTTATATTCTTTGCTTTGTTTCTGAAAGATCATAGCATGTTGTATAAATTATTTTGTTGAGCCTTTTTCTACACAGGGAAAAGTGATAATGGATCAGCTATTCAAACATTTTTGTAAGCCTAAGATAAGAGATTATTACAAATGTGCACTAGGGAAAACTCTAATAGCCTCCTCATTGTTGAAGATTAAAAAATAAGATTTTGTAATATGTATTTAAAAATGTTAAGTGTTGATGGAGCCAAACTGAATCTTAAACTGCAATAAACTAGAATGAGTGCAAAGATTTTGTAATGAGACTCGTGCTTTTTGGGTCAGTTGAAAGGGAACTTTAATGAATAGTATATATTATGTTGAACAACCTTTTTATTGGAAGTTTTCCAGGTTTGTGATATTCTTCTTTCTAGCTATCTCAAAATAATGGGGAGGGACCTTTTAGGATATAGGTTTTGTGAAACAGGCTCTTTATAAATTGTTTTTATGAACTACAGATAAGGACCATAGACTGTAGGAAAAAAGGTGGCTTAAGAAAATGACTGCTTTAAAATTAGTCCATGTAGGAAAGGGAAAAGGGAGGTTCTGCTTTAGTGTTCTTCGAAGACATCTATATTATGTGGGAGTGCTGTGGTGCCCTAACTGGAAATCACAAGAAAATAGCCATTATTTAAAATACAAAGTTACAATTTACATGACACTTTCTTTAAAAGTTATTTTTAGTCTTAATAGTTCTATAAATATTTTAATAACAATAACATACTTGATTAACACAGAGTTCCCTTTTAGATGTTTGGATTAGTATATTATAAATAGATTAAAAAATCTTGAGTAAAAGTATGTGACTAAGTCTTTCAATAGGTAAGATTTAAGTTTTGTTTAGAAACTTTTTGTGATATAAATATATCCATATGTGTAGCATTTCTAACTCATTAATGTTAAAAACCTAAGAGAGGCTAATAAGATTGTAAGAAGTAGTCATGCTTTTAACCTTGAGAAGGTTTTTATTTTGCTTTTAAGCTATAAAATGTACTTCATTTTTAATTACTATAACTTAATTCAGAAATAGACCGTAGCATTTCTGAAACATTTTAAGTTAAGATGGAAAATGAATGGTTTAATGAAGGCATTTAGATAGATTTGTATAGGCCTTTTGGGTAATGTCCAAAAGTTCTATTTAAACAAGATTGATTACAATAAAGCATGTGCTTTCTGTGATAAGTAATATTCTGTGATTCATTCCCATGAGCCTTAAGTCAGTGCTGTGTACTTGAGCAACATAGTTGGCCTGGCCTGTATAAAGTTGTTTGAGGGTATTTTCTCTCTAATTAATATCTGCCAGTCAACAAACACTTACTAAGCACCTACAATGTACCACACACTGTGCTCTGTGCTAGGGATACAAAGAAAGGGAAAAGACAATACCTGTACTTGAGGGGCTAGCAATCTAATGGAGAAGAAAACATGCAAACAACTATGTAAAAACAAGCTATATAAAGGATAAATAGGAAATCATCAATAGAGAAAATGCATAAGAATTAGTGGTTGGAAAAGGCTTCCTATAGAATGCAGAATTTTAGCTGTAACTTGAAGGAGGCCAAGAGGCAAAGATGAGGAGGGAGGGCATTCCAGGAATGGGGATTAGCTAGTGAAAATGAGTCAGGATAGTTTGGGACATATTAAGTTTAAAATGTCTTCTTCAAGGAAAAGCAAGAAGACTCATGTCATTCAATTGGAAAGTACATGGGGGAATGTAAGGTAAAAGAAGACTGGAAAGATGGGAGGGGCTAAGTCATGAAGGGCTTTGAATGCCAAACAAGGGATTTTGTATTTGATTATGGAAGTGTTAGCTAACCACTGGAGTTTGAGTAAGAGGCTTACATGGTCTGACCTGTGCTGTAAGAAAATCAATTTGGTGGTTGATTGAAGGTTGAACTAGTGTGGGGAGAGACCTATTGTAGGCAGACCAATCAGCACATTATTGCAAAAATCCAGATGTGAGGTGATAAGGACCTGTATTAGGGAGGCAGAAGTATCAGAGGATGGGGCCTATTTGATAGATGTCATAAAGGTAAAATCAGCACTTGACAACAGATTGGAAATGAGGGTGAGAGTGCGGATTCAAGGATGATACCTATATCGTGAGCCTGGCAGGGTGCTCTTGACAGCAACAGGGAAATTTGGAAGGGGGAAGGGTTTGGGGGGAAAGATGAGTTCAGTTTGGGACATGTTAAGTTCAAGTTGTCTATAGGACATATAGTTCAAGATGTCTAATGGGCAGCTGTAGATGCAAGACTAGAGGTCAGCAATGTGATTAGGGCTAGATAAGTAGATTTGAGAGTCATCAACATGGAGATGATAATTGAATCCATGGGAGCTGATGAGATCATCAAGCAAAATAGTATATAGAGAGAAGTGGGCCCATGACAGAATGCTATGCAACACCCAAGGTTATTGAACATGATCTGGATGAAAATATAGCAAAGGAGACTGAGAAGGAGAAGTCAGATAGGTTGGAAGAGAACCCGGAAAGACTAGTACCTGAAAACCTGGAGAAGAAAGTATCAAGGAGACGAAGGTGATTGACAGTGTCAAAAGCTTTAGAGAGATCAAGAAGAATGAGGATTGAGAAAAGGCCATTGGATTTGGCAATTAAGAGAGAACAGTTTTATGTTGAATGATGAGGTCAGGAGCCAGACTGTAGAGAGTTAAGAAGAGAGTGAGAGAAGAAGAGCAGGCATCTATTAATAGTTGGCTTTCTCAA